TGGTGATGATGCCGATTCTTCTATTCCATCCGAAGTTCCTTTGGGTCGGGTACTGGAATCGATTATACAAAAAAATTGATGCCCAGCAAGCATAGATCGGTGAAGTAAGGTCCCAGATGGGAGAAATAAATCAGGTTTTGGTTTCTCAGATACACAAGATGAGGTCAATGACCGGGGAATTAAATCAAATGATGTATACTCAAATGGAGAAGATGAATCAGAAGTTGGAAACTAATATATTAGCAAATCAAAGCTGAGAAAATCGATTTGATCAAGCCGAAGCATCTCATATTAATGAGTCCATTTTTTAGTGCATGTCAACATCATTGGTACATATATCTCAAGGGCCTCACACAGTATCAACATGTGGTACCAACAGGCACAACACTTGGCTTTACAATTGGCAATGTGCCGAATCTTACTCTCGGCAAGTTCGATGGGGAATCCACTAATCTTGTCAGATCCGCCGGTAGTAACTGTTTTGCCGGTGTATCAGTCACCAGTGAATAATTAGCATAATCAAAATATGCAATGTCCGCAAATACAGCCGATTCTACCAGTAAGAGATCAACAACAAATGGTAGGAAACCTAAACCAAGGTAGGGCTAATCTATTGATACCTCCAGCGGCTGCTGGGGGGCAAATAAATGCCGATCCAGAAAGAGTGTGGGTTAATCCATTCATTCCGCGACACCCAAATGATCCTCCAGGAAGAAATGCAGGGATCGATAGGGCTCAGATTTTGGCTTTAATACAGGCCGAAATAGCACAGGGTCACAGACGTGCTTGGCTAGTATACAGAAAGCCCTATCTTGATCATGTCGACGCCCATGAGTTGCCTAGAAATTATTGGTATCCTAATTTTTCTATGTACAGTGGTGAAGAGAATTTTTCTACGATGCAACATATTGCAAGGTTCACAGCATAATGTGGTGAAGCAAGCCTAAGTCCTTGGTTGAGGATGAGATTATTCTCTAGTTTTCTTGCCGGGGCAGTATTTGAATGGTACAACAACTTACCTGCCAACTCTATTCAAACTTAGGATGAAATGGAGGAAGCTTTCCATACCCAATTCTACCGAACAGAGACAGAAGCTACGTTGGCAGACATATCCCATTTATCTCAATTGCCGAGTGAATCGGTTGAAACTTTCGTGGCCAGGTTCAGGAAAGCTAAACTCAAATGCTGAATAAGTTTGCCAGAACCAGAATACATCAAGTTGGCATTGAACGGTCTAGACATTGAACATCGCAAGAGGTTTGATGGGGTTGAGTTTTAAGATCTCTTCGATTTAGCAGATAGAGCTTCTTGGTATAAGGAAATACTTAAAGAAGAAAAAAGGAGGAAGAACTCTTCTAAGGGTACCTATTACAGTACCCTAATTATGAGGTATTCTCGGCAGAAGTTCGAGATGAGTTAGAGGTTGACGTTGTAGAGGTCAATATTAAGAAGCTATACATCTGTGAAGCATTAGTTAAACCTAAGCCGATCATAGGGGGCAGTGTAACATCAACATCAGCAGCAAGGAAAAGTCATGCCGATACCGAAAAAAGCTATTCTTTTGATTTGTCAAAAACAGATCAAATCTTTGATCACTTGATGGCCGATAAAATGATATCTTTGCCTAAGGGGCATAAGATTCAGTCGGCAAGTGACCTGAAAGGAAAAGAGTTCTGTAAGTATCATAATTCTTGGAACCATGCTACTAATGATTGTACTGCTCTATGAGGTGTGTTGTAGAAAGCTATTGATGAAGGTACTTTAAAATTCCTGGAGAAAACTTCAGAGACCATGAAGGTGGATACCAATCCATTCCCCACAATCACATCTACAAATGTGATAAGCTTAGCCAAGCGAGAGAATCGGTAAGAGGTTGAGAAGAAATCAAGTGAGTTCCTTTCAGCAACCGCCACACCTGAAAAGATGGCAGAACTAAAAAAACAATTAAAAGAGGCTCAATTGGCCCTGATAGACCAGGGTTGTTATCCAAATTGCAAAGGAAAGCAGAAAATAAAGAAAGAAGAGCCAATAGAAATTCAACCAAAGATGAAAGGAATTCTTAAGAGGCTGACCTTTCCAATCAAGCCTGGTGAAGAGTCTCGGCAAGATAATTCTAGCAGCAGTCATCTAAAGGTAGAAAAGCAAAATCGGCAAATATTTATATCTAGTCTATTTCATCTACAAAATCGGCATCCTAGTTTTAAAAGGCGATCACCAGTTCAATCAGAAATTTGGGTACAAAAGGGAGCCAATTCATATAAAATGCGAACTGTAAAACCGAAAGTAGACTCAGCTGAGGACAGATGGACTAGAGTTATTCACCCAAAATTCCCTAAACCTCAGCAATATCAGAATAGAGGCCTTACTCGATCACAGAAGCGCGGGGACCAAAGGAGAAGGGCTGAGGAAAAAAGGAAAGCTAAAAATATGAGCAAAGAAGAATTAACCGAGGAAGTTAGTATTCCAGATAAAGACCAACCGGATGAGGGAGAGGAGTATCAGCCGACTTGGCCCAGACGCAAAAGTGAGTTCAGAATTCAGTTTGGGAGTTTCCCAGACGAAATGTCATGTAATATGGCATTTGTATTACCAACAATGTTTCAGGCTCCATCGGCATCAAATGCAAGTATTGAAAATAAGGGGGAAACAGAAGAAGGAAGTAAATATAAAGAGAAAAGAACTTGGCCGATTAAAAATTTATCAATTCTTTCCTCAGAGTCGGCAGAAAAGGTAGTCTTTGAGAAACCTTTATTAGCAATGACTCAGTAACTAAGGCCTTTGTATGTTAAGGTATGGGTAGAAGGTGAACCGATTAACTGAGTCTTGGTTGACAATGGCTCGGTTTTGAATGTTATTCCAGCTAACACTTTGAAGAAACTCGGTAAGAGTATAGAAGATGTTATTCCCACTGATGTAGCAATTTGCGGGTTTAACGGAGGTTTTACTAACACAAAAGAAATTCTTCCCTTGGAGGTTGAAATTGGAGTAATAACGTCTTTTGCGGCATTTTTTTATTATCGAGTCCACGGCTTCATATAATTTGTTATTGGGCCATGACTGGATTCATCCTAATATGTGCATTCCATCATCGCTACACCAGATGCTGATCTTTTGGGATGGAAATAAGGTGAAGATAGTGAATGCCGATGACAAACCATTTGTGGCAAAAGTGTATTCGGCAGATGCTATTTTGTATGATAAAGAGTGTGTTCCTATTCAATTTGTGGGAACAGGAGCTGATGGGAGACCCACCTGGCAACTATGTGAAAAAGTCTTAGCGATCGTGAAATTGGCGAGTTGCAGTAGGAGAATTCAAGGCTGAAGGTAGAAATCCCTTGGCTTACAATAATTAAAGAAAAGGTTGTTTATGGAAGCGAAACTTGAAAGAGAAGCAGCTCGGCAGCAAGCCTTTAGGGCCGCTTGCATTAGGTTACAAGTATACATAGTCAAAAAATAGCTAGAAAAAGAAGCAACAATAGAGCCAGGGCCATCGGTTAATCTTTCTGAGGTCAATCAAATTGATAATGAAAAGTTGGATGCTATTCAGTTGGAAGACTTGGAATTAGCACCGGCTAAGCTTGATTATCTTAAAGCAGAAACTCAGAATCCATTAAAGGAGGTAAATTTAGTCGCTGACACAAAGCCTTGACCAACTTACATCAGTGCACTGTTAGAACCAGAATTTCAAATGAGGTTATTAGCATATTGAAGGAATACAGTGACTGTTTTGCTTGGAATTATGTGGAATGCCGGGTTTATCCAGAGATCTGGTGGAACATCGGCTGCCCATTAAAGATGGCTTCAAGCCATATAAACAGCCACCTCGTCAAATGTCTCAAAATGTGGTAGACAAAGTCAAGGTGGAGATCGAATGATTATTGAATGCTGGCTTCATTCGAACTACAAGGTATGTTGAATGGTTATCAAATGTAGTCCCTGTTATCAAGAAGAATGGAAAATTATGTATATGTGTTGATTTCCGAAACATACACTTGGCAACCCCAAAAGATGAGTATCCAATGCCGATAGCCAATCAACTAATCAATGCAGCTGCAAAACACGAAATTATGTCTTTTATGGAAGGACACTTTGGCTATAATCAGATTTACATAGCTGAGGAGGATATCCCAAAGACAGCTTTTAGGTGTCCCAGATCGATTAGAACTTTTGAGTGGGTGGTAATGCCTTTTGGGTTGAAAAATGTTGGTGCTACATATCAGCAAGCCATGAATTCTATTTTTTATGATATGCTCGGTAAGTTTATGGAGGTATATATTGATGATGTGGTGGTGAAATCAGCAACCAAAAATGAGCACTTAGTTCACCTCAAAGCATCTTTTGAAAGGATGAGGGCTCATAAGCTAAAGATGAATCCAATAAAGTGTGCCTTTGGAGTATCGGCATGAAACTTTTTGGGTTTCTTGGTTCATCAAAGGGGTATAAAAATCGATAGGAACAAAGCTAAGGCAATCATTGATGCTAGTGCACCAAGAAGCAAGAAGCAATTACAGAGGTTACTCGGACAAGTAAACTATCTCAGGCGATTCATTGCCAATACAGCTGGCAAGTTACATGTATTTTCCTCGCTACTCAAGTTGAAGCCAATGGAAGAATTCAAATGGGATGATATATATCAGAGGGCATTCAATCAAATCAAGAAGTACTTGTCGAGTCCTCCTGTCATGATGCCGCCAAGGAAGAAATGGCCGATGAAGTTTTATTTATCGGCTGCTGAAGAATCCATTGGAGCTATGCTGGCACAAGAGAATGAAACAGGGAATGAACAAGCTATATATTATCTCAGCTAAGTTTTAACTCCAGTCGAGTGTAGATATACGCCGATTAAGAAATTATGTTTGGCTTTGTATTTTGCAGCAATGAAATTAAGAGTCTATATGTTGCCTGTTTTGGTTTATATTTTTTGTCAAACAAATCTTATAAAGTATATGCTATCAAGGCCATTAATCACAGGCCGGATCGACAAGTGAGCTCTAGCATTAATGGAGTTCAACTTTGTATATGTTCTACAAAAGGCAATTAAGGGAAGAGCATTGGCAGACTTTCTTGCCGATCATCCATCACCTGAAATTGAATCACTAGTATTTGATGAGCTTGACTCGGCAGCCATATTCATGACCCCATGGACTTTAATATTTGATGGGTCGAGTACTAATGAAGGCTCAGGAGCTGGCATAGTGCTAATATCCCCAACAAGGAACCAAATTTCGTTTTCTTTCTTTTTGGATTTCAGGTGCTCAAATAATCAAGCCGAGTATGAAGCATTGATTATCGGCTTGAAAATTCTGCTAGAAATGGCAGTCAAAGACGTCCACATTATGGGAGATTCGAGTTTAGTGATTAATCAAATCTCAGAAGACTTTAGATGTTTGAATTGGCAATTAAGGCCATTCCATTTAATGGCAACCCAATTGGTCAACCAATTTCATAATGTGACTTTGGAATATTGTGATACCCCTTAATTTCGGAACACGGGTTGATCAAATCCGTGCACAAAATTAAAGGATATCAAAACAATTAAAGTATTTAACAAGCACAGAGTATAAAAAATAAATAAATAAATAACTCGCTGAAGGAAAATCTATTAAGTAAAAATTTCTATTAATAATTCTCTAAAAGTTACAACTCGGGAATCCTGTAAATCAAAGACCCCTGAACATAATCCAATAATCCAGTGAACTCTAAATTAAGTCTATCATCAAACAATAATAAAATATCCTATATTGAAATAAGAGGAAAGAATGGATAAGTCCTCCAGCTTCGGATCCTCAACCTTGAGACTTGAACTTCTAATAACCTGAAAAATAAATCACGGGTTAAACCCTACGAGCAAACTCTCTCTACCAGGCCTCTGAAAACCAATAAAAAGATCATCTATGACCAAAAACAATCCTAATAAAGCTTTTATCTTTAGTACACCATGATATACATATATATATATATATATATATAATTATATATAATACATTAGTCACATCTATTACTAGGTTCATTAAATTCAAAACTATCAGACAATGATTAAATTAACAATCATTCCTAGACCAATCCACAATTCATATTTGTTTTAAAAAGAAACTCCCTTTGACCATAATTCCATTATAGACAATTGTTTAGTTATTTAAACAATCAATTATAATATAAGAAAAATTATATTAAGTCCCAAATCCCGATAATGATTTTTATTCACTAAATCACACAGCCAATATCTAGGCTTTGACAAATCATCCATGTCTCTCCCAGTATTATTTTATTAATATATATAAAATAATATACTAACCTTTAAACACTAGATTATTTTAATGTAATCATAATCCAACTGATACACACAATAACCCTAGATAGAATTTTAATCATCTAGCACATAGCAATTTAATTACGCTTTGGCAAATCAACCATGCCTTTATAAATATATTTATTTATATATTGGCAACTCAACCATGCCTCCTTAAGTATAATTATTTATACTTTAGCAATTCAACCATGCCTCCATAAGTATATTTATTCATACATTTAATTAGCAACTCATCCATGCTTCCCATGTATGTATTCTTTTCATACAAATATTTAGGTAATATTTTTAATCCTTTGGCAATTCATCCATGCCTATACTTTAGCTATGAATCACTTCAAACTTAACAATATGCTAAATCATACATAGCCATCTCATGCATATTATACGCATATCATTAATTTAATAATCAACCTATCAAGATATACCAAATAAGAATGATAATATTAATCATCTTAAATAATATATATATATATATATATATATATATATATATATACATACACATATATTATTTAATATATATATATATATGTGTTTAACACCTTCCTTAATAATCTTTGATTTTTTTTTTTAAATCAATATACATATACATATATATATATATATATATATATATATATCCATACAACTCATAAACAAATTAAACTATATATACACATATATAAATAATTATATATATATATATATATACACTTCCTTCCATAAAAAATTATTAATTTATTATATTTACACAAATTAATACTACTAAATATGTCGGAAACAGTTTCCCCTAAATACTCTATATTGGTTTAAATAGTTTTCCAACACTGTCTCACTAAAACGTAAATATCTCCTAGTAGGATGGGAATCTGATAATGAAATTGGAACCATCAGAAAGAGGACGAAAAATCGTTGAATTTGAGCTCCAGAATGACCCAATTTCGATTTAAAATGATTGAATTATGACCATTTCAATCTTGTGTCACAAAAGGGATCAACACGTGCGCCCACGCACTTTTCATGCACTTGCACGCACTGGAAACAAGTCTGCATGTGTATTGCGTGTTCTGATTGACTGGAGTTTTCAGTTGCTGTAGGCTCGCCCACACCATATTATTCCTATGTTGACTAGACCACATCTACGGTCCAGATGCACATGCGTACCCTTTTCCATATGCCGTAATGCACCAAATCATTCTACTTATGTTAAATTAATCTAATGGCCTATATTAGGGTGTGTAACATCTTATCATGTGCCGTAATGCACCGGATTATTCCACCAAAGATTAAATATTCTAATGGTCCAAATCAGCATCTGTACCATTATTCCATGCACCATAATGCACCCTATCAATCCACTTATTGTTAATGGCTCTAATTCACATGTACACCAAGCTATGCTATACCGCGCAACACTGAATCAGAAACCCCTTCTAATGCACCAAAATACAGCGTCTAGTTTGTGTATATACTATTTTACCAAATATATATATATATATATATATATATATATATATATATATATATATATATATATATATATAATTTTCTAAACAAATACTAAGAAAATAAATTCTAATAAATTCTTAAAAATATCAGAAAAATTACAAAAAATTACAGGAAAATTCCAGAAAATAAAGAAACTGTAATAAACCCTCTTAGGTCATAGATCCACTTATAGACTGATTTTAATATATATATACAACACCCATATATATCATAAAATCTAATAATCCAAAAATCAATTAAAATAATTTATGCTTTTAATTATTTCGATCTAATCATGATTTTAAACAAATAAATTTAATTCAAGCCTTGATACTCAAGGTGAAATCCTTATGAGTTTTAAGAGGAAAGATAGAGAAAACTCGTCTGAATATTTCAAAACGAAACTGAAGCTTCAAGCCTTGATTGCCTCTTCCAAATCCAACATCCTCTTTCTCTAATCCGACCTCTTCTTTGTCGGCCTTCTCTTTTTCTCTCTCTCTCTTATTTTTCTAACGTGTAAACTTTTAACCCTAAAGTCTTATGCGTATATTTATACACATTAGAATCCAAATCCTATTCCTACTAGGACTTTCAAATAAAATATTAATCCTTAAATAATATATATCTATAAACATATATTATATTACATATATATATATATATATATATATATATATATATATACACACACACACACACATACCTTCCATAATTAACGCATTGGTTAATTAAATCATATAGACCTATATATATCCATAAATATAAATCTTTATATATATCTTTCCATAACAATTATTAATTAATTATATTTATATATAATTTTATATATTTATAATTAATACAAAAATGATCATTTAAATAATTAAATAACCATGGGCCTTTATTAATTAACCCAATAAGGCTTCATATAAGCCCAAGACCACATCTTTTGGTCCAACTTCCCTTAAGCCCAAATCCAATTAATTTAAATAAATCAAATAATTAAATAGATGCTTAAATTATAAAATAAAAAAACTAATTACACTAAGCACATAAACAAAATAATAAATTACAATCAAGTCACACCATACCAATAAAATCAACATGCCAATAATTCAATCAATAATTAAGCACACACACAACAATTATCATATCAATAATTCACGAAATATAAATAAAATAAAACAATTAATCTAAGCACTCTGTAAAACAAATCCATTAAAAATAAAAATAAACGTAATTAATTCAAATTAAATCAAATAAATCATTTAAAATAAAATAAAAGTAATTAATTTGAATTAATAGATCCTTTAAAATATTGGGATATTACAAATATAGACCAAGGGCCATGAATAAAATAGCTAATGACTTAGCACAGATTGCCTCAGGAATAAGAGTGCCAAGTGATATAAAAGAAAGGGTAGTTAAAATGACACGACGATCTCTTTCATCGGCTGAAACAAGAAATTAAATTATGGAGGAAGTTTTTGCTACTGATTTTGCCGAGTTAGATGGCGACGATTGGTGGATCCCTTACATCTTATTCTTACAACATCCAACTCCAGGAGCTGATCGGAAAATAAAAAGAAGTGCAGTCGATTATGTACTTATAGATGGAAATCTTTGTAGGAGATCGACTGATGATGGCTTATTATTTCAGTGTATTAGCAAGTTTGAAGGTTTAAAGATTATGGCAGAGGTACATGAAGAAATATGTGGAGCTCACCAAGCTGACATAAAAATGAGGTGGTTGATACGCCGATATGGATATTATTGGCCTGGCATGGGAAAAGATTGTATGACTTATGTAAAAGGTTGTATAGACTATCAAAAGCATGGTCCAATGCAGTGGGTTCCTACAATAGAGATGCAATTATTAGTTAAACCATGGCCTTTCAGAAGTTGGGCTATGGATCTAATCGGCAAAATTAATCCTCCTTCGTCAAAAGGTCATCATTGGATTATTTTAGCTATCGATTACTTAACCAAATGGGTAGAAGCCGAGGAATACGTATTGGTAACTCATAATACCGTTATACAGTTTCTGGAGCAACATATCTTTTACCGATTCGGTTTACTAGAAACAATTGTTGCCGATAATAGATCTGTATTTCGAGCAAATGAAGTATTACAACTTGGAATTGATATGCAAGTGAAAATGGTAACTTGAACACCCAATTATGCTCAAGGGAATGGCTAAGCAGAGGCTTCAAGTAAAGTTATTATTGAAATTATTAAGAAGATGATAAAAGATAAGCCAAGGCGTTGGCATGAAACCCTTTCAGAAGCCTTGTGGGCTTATAGAAATTCGAAGCGAATAAGTACAGGAACAACTCCTTATCGGCTAACATTTGGCCATGATGCTGTTTTGCCGATGGAGTTAAATGTGAAATCGGCAAGAGTAGCTTTACAACATAATCTTATACCTGCCGATTACAACGAAGCTATGCTTGCTGAGTTGGAAGATTTGGGTGAAATCTAAAAACTTGTTTTAGACCACCTTATGGTCCATAAAGCAAAGGTAATGAAGGCTTACAACAAACGGGTGAAGTTCAAGTCATTTGCAGAGGGTGATATGGTTTGGCAAACAATTCTTTCACTTAGGAATATGGATAGAGTTTATGGAAAATGGTCACCTACTTGGAAAGGCCCATATTTGGTTCACCAAGTGTTACATGGAGGAGCTTACAAATTAAAAGATTTAGATGGTGACATTCATGAGAG